TTTAACCCAGTAAGTTAACATTTCACCAACGACACAAAGATGACTTTAATCACAGAAACCAGGACACAGTCTGAAGTTTCTTGTTAGATTCAAGGTTCAAAACAGGTTCCTACATTTCACAGTGAGGAGATTTCACATCCTGTGGAGGTCTGTGTTAGTCTGATGGAAGCTGAAAGAGGTGATGTGCCATATCCACAAAAAATAATATCTCGAGCTCTGGGGAGATTTAGCCCATAACCATACAGTAATTGATGGTGTTTTTCATCCCCTAATAAAATAGTAAAACATTATCAGCCAGTATGTTTCTAAAGCTGTTTTCACAACATATGCACCCCTGAAAATATCTAGATCATTTCAGGAGGGGGGGCACGCGGCATAGCAACAGAGTCCTCTATATGACGCTATAATGAGAATATGTGTCTTTAATGCTACGTGTAAACCCGTTCACACAACTAAAGAGTAGAGAAGAACATACTGGAGAACAGGAAGCATAATGCAGCAGGTTCATTACAGCACAGAGAGTAGAGGTGGCGTGCAGACAGTCTACGGTCGTGCAGCGATCACAGGGAATAAAGGTCACCACCCCCTCCCACTCGCTCCAGGTGAATTCTCCTGATTATATCCTGCTGCGCTCTCACATCAGCTCACTATGACTCTCTGCAGAATAAATATGAGGAGGCTGGAGGAGAAACTCCGGCTGAAGAGAGAAACATTCAGCTGTTTGTGTTCACACATGACGCTCAATCTGGAAATATCAGGGGCCATATGCACAAAGCCTCCTAAAAATCTAAGAAAATTCCTAGAATCAGGTCATTTTCTAAGAATTTCCCCTCAATGTTCAGACTAGATCCTGGTAAAGAGGGTGAAGAGTCTTAGCCCTTAAAAGAGCTCCTCAGGTGTAAAACTGTGAGGAGGGCTTTTCTCAAGCTGAGGACAAAATGGAGAAACGTTCTCCAAACACTACATGAAGAATATTTTTGACTCATGTTGTTATTTGTGCAGACATTTCATCCATCTATGACTTTATTCAGTACAAAGTGAGACATGCATGTTGAGTTTCTCTACATGTGGTTACCTCCACAGGTGCATCCAATCATGTGTTTGCTCGTGTTGTTCTCTAATCTTTGCTGTAACCTAGATACATTTTGTTTCTTTCGCAGTGTGAGTGTGTGTGTGTGTGTGTGTGTGTGTGTGTGTGTGTGTGTGTGTGTGTGTGTGTGTGTGTGTGTGTGTGTGTGTGTGTGTGTGTGTGTGTGCATTTTGATCACTGCATATGTTTTTAGTTCCTGCTTCCTGCAGAACGACAGCAGCAATGTTGCTGAGGGTAGATTTTGATTGCGTGACTTTGCACAAACCCTTATAAGAAGCCATGGAGACCGTTACCGGGTCGATTGAAAGTAGCAGAGGTGTGAACGACTATGTGTACTCTGCAGGCCCACATGTTGTTTTATTACCGTTCATCCATGAGACAAAAACTTGATTCGCGTGAGACTCTTTGTGCGTCAGAAAAACACAAACTGTTAACAAGAAGTGCTTCTGATGACACGCTCAGCTCTGTCAACATGACGGGTATTAAGAGAAGAAAAAACCTGCTCTCCTCTGAGGCGTCTCATCTGTTTACTGCTACATAAACTATGATGAACCCGGCCTCGCTCAGCTGCAGCAGCCTCGTGCTGCAGAGCGAACAGCTTGCAGAGCCGGTGATCAGGAGTCATGATTAAGCACCGACTGTGAGAAAACTCTCCGTGTGTTCGCTCCAATTCAGCCCGCTGCTGATTACACTCATCAGGGCCCCGTATGCTGCAGGCTGCGGAGACGCACCAACTGCTGTTTGAAACCCAGACTCCAAAAAATGATTTCACTATTAGACATATGTGCTGTAAGTAAAACAGAAGTTTGAAAAATGGACAAAAGTGAAGTCAATCTGAGCAAAAACACAAATCAAATAACCTTTTTTATTTTAACTCCTGTGTCATATTAACTGTGTATAATATATATTTACTCGTATGTAATATGTATAATGTGTAAAGATGAATCCAGCAGAAAAACTGAGGTAGACAAGGTCGTTTCTGCCGTGGCATTCCCCTCTAACAGATGCATGTTTGAATCAAGCTGCAACCTCCAGTGTTGAAACATGAAGCTGATAATGAAGTTCCAAATCCTGCAGTTCCTCGAGTGTCCACTAGAGGCTGACTGCAGAAGCACAGGAAGTCACATACACACCCATTCTAAAAAGCCTGTTTTTACAGCAGAGATTAACATGTTTACAGCCTGGTTAAAAAAACCAAACAGGTCTGATTAGCTTCATGTCTCGATCGACACACACTGTACGGGGGGTGAATGTTTTGATGACTCATCAGTTTTGATTTGGAGAAGGATAGGAGTTATTCACAAAAAGGCGTTTAGCTGACCTGTTTCACAGATGGGTGCGGTGTAACGGTTTGTCAGGAGTCTTAAAACCCGCCTCAGCTCTAGCTCTTAGCCTGAGGTGTGAGCAATTAAGAAGAAATGCTTGAGAGCAACGTGCAACACCCTTCTTCCACTCTCGAAGTATTTTTCGCTTTCTCTTCCACACACGATCCCTGTCCTGATCGACAAAGTCCTGGTGCTCCTTCTTTCTATGCTGAGGCCTTGATTGCTCATCAGCAGCAGGTGAGTTCATGCACACAGACTGAAGAACAGGAGCAGACTGAGGAGCAAATGAGGGGGAGAGAGAAAGAAAGAGGGGGGAATAAAACATTAACACAACAAGAAACACACATGTCATCTCCCTGCGTTCTTGTATTTGTTTAAAAAGGACAAAAAATAAGTATTAACCTGACTTAACACTAGAACGACCGGCATTCTATCACTACTAGAAAGGCCATAGCGGTCATTTTGACGATTTACAAATTATTTATTTTATTATCTAATATCAAATATAAGAATAAATGGATCTGTAATGTTGTGAAAGGTATAATAAACTTCAGGACACAAACATTAAATTCTAATGAATTTGAAATTTGAATAGTTTATCAAAAACAGCAGCCGGCGTTTTTTGCGAATGGGAATGATCTCTGTATCATTTTCAGGTTCAATCTCAGAGCCAGAGTCAGATGAAGTTTCGAGAGACCAGGAGAAATCACTTTCCATATCCGAACCTGCCTCCATCAGACTCTGCCTCATCAAGGCTTTGGAGCATGGCTAAAGCCTCTGTGGCAGCAATCCTCCTCCTTCCTGACATTTCGTTCTATTCTGTTCTAAATCAGATCCTAATTTACTCTAGTCAGCCTTTTCAATGTTGATTAAATCAAATGTATGTCTTCTATTCTTTCTATATGATTTTAGGCGGGTAAGCTTTCTTTCCTCTTTGGCTCGAGCGTTATAAACAACAGCGATGCGCACCTTCAAGTAGTGGTGGGCGATATAACGATCTTAGATCGTGAAGAATTTTAACTTGCTGACGATCTGCCAAAGCAGAGAGATCGTAGAACCGGACTAATGTGTTTATTTTATCATGGTGCAGTTTATGCTCCGACACAGACGCGTCTCCTCCTTTTTTGCTCCGCAGAGGTGAAAACGAAAGTTAAAAGTAAAGTCCGCAAAAACAACTCCATCTCGGTTATATGCAACTGTTGTGATATTTTTCCAAACCAACACGCTGTGATCAACTGTTAACTTATCTGCATAGTGTGCACAGTTAAGATTAGTCTACATCTCAGATAACGACACAGAGAGACGTCAACAGTCAGAGACAGACAGGGCGCAGCTCAGACAGTCAGTGATGAGAGATTTAACCCCAGTGTTTAAAATGTTGCTGTCGGTGTTTTCTGCTCTCTCTCAGTTTTTAAAAGTTACTATCATCCTCTCCATCCGAAGCTCACCTGTTGTGATAACTGAACCTATAGGGATTAAGCTAAACGATGTTACACATTGTGTTCAGCAGGCAGGTGAGAGTGAGTAACCATGGTGACTGTCTGTCTGTCAATCAACAATGTCCCGCCCCCTCTATGAATTAAACTCTTCTGTCAGTAAAACTTACTTTGATCATGTATCACAGAATGAACACATTCTGTATTATGTTTGATTATATATAAACTAAACTAAAGTTAGTCCAATGATGTCATAAAAAACAACAAAGGCTACAGAGCCTGTATGAAGCTCCAGCTGGAGGAACTCTGCAGGGCTATACTAGAACAGAAACACAAGAACTTGAAGTCTACATGTTTTTAAATGAATGCATCACTGTGTGAAAATGTTCCTGATGAACATAAAAAGAGGACACATAACTAAATCATCATTTCAAAGTGGTGAGGAAAACCTTCAAATTGTGCATAAATATTGATCAAATTGAGGGAAAGACATTTCTGTTGCTAAAGATGTTCTGGGTGAGACCTCCAGACCTCCTACAAAGATGTTTTTCAAATAGATTAAACTCATCGGCACAGTTTTTGTGCATTTAAAAAAATTATACAGGGAAATAAGTTTGGTTGAGCTGGTCAGCAACTTACAAATTTGTCTAAACAGTATAAAAAACATTGTGATAAAATCGTGATATGATATTTTTCCCATATCGCCCACCGCTACCTTCAAGAGTGGGAAAAAGTAGCGAATACTGAAATGATACACTGGCTATAATGCATGCAGTCAATATGACCACTATGGACTTTCAAGGTAGAAATACTCAAAACTCTTTTGTGTTTTGTGTTTTTGATATAATAACAATGCTAGAATAAAATATAGACACATTTAGGAAAAGTCATGGTCCTGTAGTTACACAGGTTTTATTTTAAGTAAGTTATTACATTGCAAAATTAAAAAACAGTCAAAATGACTGCCTTGGTCTTTCTAGTGTTAAATTGTCATGAATGAAGTCTGAGCTGTGCTGTGTTGTAGTGTCTATCACCACCTCTGAGTGGCGCTGTGGCGCACGATACAACACATGCCGGCGGTAGAAGAAGAAAGCCGTTTCACAACAACACGTCACTTCCTCTGACCGCTGCTAAAGGTAAACACATTTCTAATACAGATTTGAGCCTCCTTGTGTAACTTTTTATATATTTACACCTCTGGTTACAGTAACTAACAGTAACGTTTATCACGGGCTGAAATATCGCGATGTTTCATGAGGCTGAGGGTGTGGCGGGACTGCTTTTATCTGTTCGTGCTGCAAACGAGCTACAAAACATTTTCAAGAGGTTTTATTTGGGTTGAATAATTTTTATAAACTTTATTTAAACAATACTTACAAAAACATCTCATACATTAAAATTCATGTACAGATTTAATCATCACACCCCGTGCACAGCGCTGTCAGTCCTTTAAACTCAGGGCAGGTGATCAGGTGAGCAGGTGATGGCAGGTGAGCAGGTGATGGCAGGTGATGGCAGGAAACATCATCTTCACTGCAAATGAGAAGATTTACCTGCACGGCTTCATCAGGTTTGTGATACAAGATTCTGCACAGGTGTCCAAATCATCAAACATTACATTTCACACTGTATATTCTTTATTCTACATACCAACATATCCCTAAAAGCAAACGACTCGATACACTTTATTGTCCTCTTGGGCTCAAAGTGCTGACATTCAGCATCTTCCACGAGAATCAATAATAATAGAAAAACACATCCACACATTAACAGAAATTCACTTATCAGACGCTTTTATCCAAACATAAATGAACATCAGAGAGTAACTACAACAGAAGCAAGGATCCCGAGAGGAGGAAACAATGTCAGTGCAGTGCAGACGAACATGTGCTGACAGGCAATGCACAGGGACAAGTTGTTCTTCTGAGTGGAGGAAACATGGCTGGCAGGTTAAGTTTCAAATAACAGATTTAATCAGTGTACACACGTGGGAGGTTTCTGGTGGAACATGCAAGAGAACAATTAACACTGCTTAAAATTGAAGAGGATTTAAGTGTCTGGTTTACAGCTCGGTTCCTGGAACCCCCTTGGGCTGTGAATAATGGGAGGAAGATATTGTTGTTCTGCATGATCTTCACGTGAACAGCGGAACAAACTTGATTCTGATGACCATGACTGTTGGTGTCGTGTCCTCATAGAGGCACATGACTCTCAAAGCTTCACTTCTGGCCTTCCAGATCTCGACCAGGGTCTACAAATCTCAGATCAGTGTAAGAACCGCAGGGAGCGAGTTTAAGCTGGATATGAAACATGCTGAACTGAATCCTGATGCCACCATACGACTTACAGACCATCAGTGTGAGGATTGTTTCTTCTATTTAGTTTAATTTCCCATCAGCTGACGGGTGGTTATCTAACAAGGCGCTGTGGTTTCCTTTTTTCCACACCAAGGATTCGTTCCGCTCTCTCCATTGCTTCAGGGCGATAAGTTGGTATTTTGAAGATGCACTGATGTTAGCTACCTTCTTTTTCCAGACGCTGTATTTTCTTCTTCTCTTACTCCTGCAGGTGATCGGCGTCGGCGCCTCGCCTCGATGTTTCGTCTGATCGCGTCCTCTCTGTGCCTGCGGTGTCAGCGTGTCCCCGCTCTGCCCGTTATCCTGCGGCCATGTGTGACGCTGAGCTCGGCAGAGAACCAGCAGACAGTGGAGGCGCTCTACGACCTCTCTGTGGACATCCAGAAGGTCCGTAAGCTGAAGAGCTGGGTCCTGCATCAGAGCCCCGCCTACACTAAGGAGGTGGCCGACCTGCTGAAGGACATGGGGGCGTCCGGCTCGGTCGTCGCCCGGATCCTGGCGCTTCACCCTGAGTCTATCCTTTGTTGCCCGGAGCAGGTGGAGGCTCAGAGGGAGCTGTGGATGTCCGTGTGCCCCAACCAGAAGGAGCTGGTCAGCATCATCGAGAAATTCCCCGCCTCTTTCTTCACCTCCTCCAGTCACCATGACAACCAGCGGGACAACATTGCGTTCTTCCAGAGCTTGAACCTCAACAAGCGAATCGTCACCAAGCTGATGGCGAGCGCTCCACTGAGCTTCAGCCGGCCGGTGGAGCAGAACCAGCTGATGGTGCGGACGCTGCAGCAGGCGTACACAGAACTGGGCGGCAAGGACGCCAACATGAGGATCTGGCTCCAGAAGCTGCTGAGTCAGAATCCGTTTGTCCTCCTGAAGCCTCCGGACGTGCTCAGGCAGAACCTGCTGTTCCTCAGGGACCGCGGCTTCAGCACGGCTGAGCTGCTCCGCCTCCTCTCCAAACTCAGAGGCTTCGTCACCGAGCTGAACCCCGATAACATGCGCCGCACGCTGGCCTTCTCCCAGGACGCCATGGGCTGCTCCGAGGAGGATCTGCGGGACATCGTCCTCAGCTGTCCCGCTCTGCTTTACTACCCCGAAGAGATCCTGTCTGAGCGCTTTAATGGCCTCCTCAGCGTCGGGGTCAGCATGTCTCAGATCACAGAGACCCCCACCGTGCTCGAGCTCACCACACAGATCATCATCTATCGGTTGCAGCGCCTGAGATCGTACGGATATGACGTAAGGACAGGAAGTCTGCAGGTTTTAAACGGCACTAAGAAGGACTTTGAGGTGAGCTGTGGACGGCTTCAGATCCGCAGAGAGAGGCCGCTTTTCAACCCGGTCGCACCTCTAAGAGGAGACGACTGACAGAGAAGAATGAATCAAAACTGAATGTTTTCTGGTCATGTGATTGTGTACATCTAAATTATATCACATTAAAGTGCCCACACTATAAAGTCACACTCACGTCAAACATCCCTTTTGACAGAATCGTATTTATTTCATAGTTTATTTATTCGTGATTTACCTGAAGAATCTCTGAATGCAGCCCTTAAAGGATGTAAAGAGCGGTTTGCTTTCTTGTGAGATTCATAGGACAGAATAGATTTTACCTTCACTGTCTAATTGTTGTTGATGACGATATATTAACCTGTCAGCACCTCTGGTCACTTCCTGTCAGCGCCTGTGCTCTGTCTCTGGTCACTTCCAATCAGTGTGTCTAATCAGACTTAAAGCTGTTCATTTGCACTTCCTGTCGTTGTTTCCTCCTCTCTCGATCCTTGCTTGTGTCGTTCTTACTGATCTTCGTCCCTTTGGATAACAGCGTCTGCTAAGTAAATTGTAGAATACAGATGAATTAATCTATTTGATGTGATAACGAGTACATCAGCTAACGTCTGTCATTATGTTTGGATAACAACGCTGCTTTACGCGTCGTAACGAGCTAGTTTGAGTTGTTTTCTGAAATTCTAGAGAAACTAACTCGTCATCACGGTAACAGCAAAGTTGATATGTCAACAGTAAATGATTCGCTGCATGTCCACTCAGGGCTTCTGTACACGAGAACTCATCCCAGTTTGTATAAAACGCCTGAATGACAGGTGTGCATTACTGAGTATAAATGAACTCAATCCAGGCTTTTACTGCAGATTTATAAGGAGCCTGTGCAAGTTAATTTCACACACAGTTCATAGCAGAGAGGAGATTGAACTGTCTGAGGTGTTTATTAAGAAACTGATCTGTCACTCTATTATCATCTCCTAAAGCTTCTACATGACGAGACTAAAGAAGGAATGAAAATAAAGATCTTAGGGTTCAGATAGGAAGTGGTTTGAACACTAAAACTGAAATTCTGCTGACATTCATCTCCTATAGAGTAGACTCTCTCTTACTGGTTTGTCTGGTTGTCTTGGAGGTTTGAAAGTCTACATATGCTGCTGTTATTATAGTGCCCATAAAGTCAATGTCTACTCTGAGAGAGCTTTGTCTAACGGAGGAGAGGCCGTTTAGAAAATGTTCCGTCTCCTTCTGAACATTTTTTAATGTTTCAAAGTCGGAAAAAGCCCTCAAACATTTTTTCTTCTTTTTAATGGGAGTGAGCGTCACAGCTAATGAGACGAGGAATTTAAGCCTCCAGGGTCACTCTGTGTCTGACTGACGACGACGACCAGGGTCAAAACAAAGACGGGTATTGAGGACGAGTGTGACCAGAGGGAGGAGGAGGAAGAGGAGGAAGACGAAGGGGAAGAGAGAAAAGGAGGAGTGTGACCAGAGGGAGGAGGAGGATATAGGTTGGGCTTTTATAGTGGCAGAGGAGGAGGAAGAGAGGACAAAAGGAGGAAGCCTAGGAGAGAAGAGGAGGTGAAGTAGGAAGAGGAGGGGAAGGGGTAGGCGTGGGAGACGAGTCGAGGGATGGGGGATGAGAAGATGGAAAGAACAGGAGGAGGAGGAAGGGAAAAAGTTGAGGGAGAGGAGAGGAAGAGAAGAAAAGTCGGAGGAAAGGAGAAGGGGAAGAGTCGGAGATGAAGAGAATGAGGATGGGGAGGCGGAAAGGGGGAGGGAATGGGGAGGAGGTTAGAGGGAGGAGTAAGAAAGGAGGAGACAAAAGAGGTGGGAGCAGAGGAGGAGAAGAGGAGTAATGAGTGGGAAAGAGGAGATGAAATAGAGAAGGAGAGGTGGAGGAAAGAAAGGGATATGAGAGAGGAGGGAGGGGAGGGAAAGGAAAAGGAGGAAGGATAAAAGTTGGAGGAGCAGAGGAGCGAAAGCTTGAGAGGGAGGATGATGAAGAGGAGTGGGAGGATGTGTGAGGAAGAGGAGGTGAGGGTGCATAAATGTATTAATTATAGTGATACATTTTATTTACACCTCCTCCTCTCATCTCCTCTCATCACTACAGCTGGAGGAGAGACAGTTTACCTGACGAAGCTCGACTCGTGTTTATCTTTAAGCGTTCTCAGCTGAGAGCTTCCAGCAGCTCCACCTGAAGAACACACACACACCTGACACTCTGCAGGTCACACATCAGGGACACTATCGTCTCTTCTTCAGCAGGTGGAGTCTGTGGGCGGTGTTTTACTGAGACCGCAGGCTTCAGGTGTGCACATTCAGGTCACCTCTATTTGTTACCCACAATCCTCTTGTCCTCTTGAATCACAGACGAGCCGCAGAGGTTAATAAGAGTGAGCATCAATTCTCCTTTTTCATTTCCCAGCAGACACTGGTTGATAACCAAACTGCTTTTATGGGTCGTTTCTCGGTGGAATCAGACGACACCTTCAATTAACGACATAATTTACACGCAGACGAGCGCCGCTGCTGTAAATATTTCTGACTGAAGACAGAGAGAGTTCACCCTCATAGAATATTTTTTAGGATTTATCAGGTTTACGACTGCTATATAGTTACATACACAGTTACTCTCCCACTATTTGACGAGCAGAGGCGCCTGAATGGCCAACTTTCTCAAATGAGATGGTCTTATCAGAGGAATGGATGTCAGGACATCGTTTTTGACCCATTTGCTTCTACATGTGGACATAGATGTTTTAGTGAACTTAACATGCCTGGACAGGGTTATTTTTTGAAACGGAGGTTTTAAAAATACCCGCCTACAAGTGAACTAGGCCTAAACCCAACACGATCACACCAGCTTTGTCCACAAGGGGCGCCAAAATCAACACAAACTGAAGGTCCTCCCTGTATGTAGCTTTAAATCTTACATCACACACACACAATGTACCTGCTGGTTCATTCAGTGTCACCCACCTGGGGGAGGGGTTACTGCCCTTTGTGATGTCATGAAGGGAAAATCTCCAAATGGCCTGTTTGAGCACACATTTTCTGAAAAGTGGAGCAGGTAAAAGACAGAGAGGATGGACTTTTCTCATCATTGGGGGGTTTGTAGACAGACTAGAGACACATATTAGAGTTAGAGGAACATGGTGAAGTGGATTTTATAGAATATGTGCCCTTTAAATCCATCCATAGATGTCTTTTATTCCAGCATGTGTTACAACTATGTGTTTATATCTTACACATTTGACCTTTTTAATGATCATCTTTTATTTTGTTTTCTGGAGGAAGATGCTGTGACCGTTACAGTTATATCTAAAATATCACAAAACTTTAAAATCATCAAAAAAATATGGAGATTTTGACACTCGAAGCCTTTGTGTGTGTGTGTATGTGTGTGTGTGTGTGTGTGTGTGTGTGTGTGTGTGTGTGTGTGTGTGTGTGTGTGTGTGTTTGTTTCCATCTAGTGGCGACATCATTACATACACAGCATTGGTTAAAGAATAACAATCTCATTCAGGAAAATGAAGAAGAAAGTCACAAATTCTTTCCCATAAGAAAACAAAACAATGATTTACTATTTATTTTTACCATAAGATTTAAAACATTTGGTCCATAATCGGAAACTTTGGCTCAGATCATTAGATCTGCAAACAATCCGTCTGTGATCTACGTCGATCTCTGAATCTCTCAGACGTTTTCTCTGAACACCTGCAACGCGTCTCTGAGGAGGAGGACAACGAGGAGGAGGTGGAGGACGAAGGCTGACACTGACACACTGACAGCAGAGAGTGGAGGACGAGGTCAAGGAGGACGAGGGGGAGGAAGAGGAGGAGGAGGAAGGCTGACAGTGACACACTTACAGCAGAGTGAAGAGGAGGATGATGTCAAGGAGAAGGTCCAGGAGGACGTGGTCGAAGAGGAGGACGAGGAGGAAGGCTGAAACTGACACACTGAGAGCAGAGAGTGGAGGATCATTTGTTTTTTACAAAGTCTTGGAAACTGCAGAAATGAATCCAGGAATAAAAGGCACCAAAACCAAGCAGAGAGCTGTTAAAGTGTCCGTGCTCACAGTGTTCAGAGTTCACGTTTATATTTACAGTCTTTGTTAAAGAGTAAGAATCTCCATCACACCACATCAACGCTCTCTTTCTTAAAAACTCGGAATTTGTACTTGACCCCGTTCTCCTCCTGGATTTTACTCGGTACTCCTGGAAATCTGTTTGGAAACAAACAAACAAAGAGGACGTATAAATCTAGGAATAACATCAGTTATAACATTAGTAAGTCGATCATTTATTGTCTTTAGTCATAAAATAAATTAGAATTCACCAAAGTAAGAATGAAGTCAGTGGACGTAATCGACTTTAAAACAACATCACAGCAACCACAGATTGAATATCCATTCATCATATTTCATTTAGCATCTTGAACCTTCTGTCTACCTCAGGCGCGTTATTATCACTTTAACATTTCATCTGTAATGTTTGCACGCAGAGAGCAGCTTTGAACCAGAGTCCAGGGGCTTGTAGACGTCCCACCCTGATTTTTAAGGCGATAAGTAGAAAGTGTGACGGGTAACTAGGATGTTCACAGAGATGAAGGTCTGACATGTTTTATCTCTGAGGTAGAGAAATGTGTGCAGACGGAGAGGTGAACACGAACCCTTCCTGCTCTTTAAAGAGTCCTCTGTCGAACGCAGGGAAGAAAACGTCACAGTCGAAGTCGGCCATAATGTCCGTCAGGTACAGCAGGTCACACCACGGGTGCTTCAACGCCTCCTGAGCACAGACCACAACAGAAAAACATGACCAGAGTTAAAAATCAATCTGTTCTATATTCAGTGTATACTACTATAACACTGGAGTTCTGTATCTTATAATACAACTTCTGAGGAGTCAGAGTGGATCACTACATGATCCTGAACACCCAGGTCAGGAGGATTTCAGGAGACGTCCTCATTTCAGGAGTGCAGATGTGAAAACGGCTTGAGAGACTCAGTCCATGTTTACCTTGTACACCTGTGTCCCCCCAACAACCCAGATGGTCTCTATGAGGTCAGCGAGGTGGGGCCGGGTGGTGAGGAGGATGGCACTCGCAAAGTCCGGACACAGGAAGTGGGCCTGGTCTGGAACCTTGCTGCGAGAGGAGAAACGTTTGTGAGAATATAACGGAGAAATGGCA